TCTAAACCTGGAGCGGGGTCCGTTTTGGGTCGCCGGTCGTACATCGATGATATCCTGATCGGGGGTACGACGTGGGACGACCTTTGCCAGAAGGTGGAACGCCTCTTGGAACTCTGTGAAGAATGGAATTTATCGATTAGTGTGGAGAAGAGCGAATGGGGGATGTCGAAAGTGGATTACCTGGGACATGAAGTGTCGGAAGATGGACTCGGGGCGAAGCCGAAGAACTTAGAAACCCTTGCGACGTTGGAATTCCGCGTACGCAAAAGGGTCTACAGTCGTTTTTGGGTAGCCTTAACTACTACCACCGTTTCATCCCGGATTTCGCGATTTACGCGGCCGCGCTCTACTCCCTCTCCGCCCGTGATTTTGAAGAACGCGTCTGGAGTCCTGAGACGCGCGATCTAGATAAGTGGGGTTCGACACGCTCCGTAGCAAGATCGCGACTACACCTATGTTGAGCCGGTGGTGATCGTGTACGCGAGTGACTGGGCAGTGTCAGCCGTCCTGGCTCAAGACCACGATGGAGTATATCTGCCGGTCAAATTCACTAGTCGGACGTTGAAGCCCAACGAGTTGAATTACAGCATCGCGGAGAAAGAAATCCTGGCACTATTACGCGTCCTGAATGAATGTCACAACATGCTGGCGGGGAGGACGATCCGTGTCCTAACCCGACACACGACTCTCGGGTGGCTCTTTCGCTCCAAAGGTCTGCAGGGACGACTTTCGCAATGGGCAGTTCACCGTGGAGGCTGGCGATTCTCCGGTCCGTAAAGGGAGAGGAAGAAATCCTAGGTGCGTTGGCCGCGAGCATCACACCGAGAGCTTACGTCGACGCCGCGCTCGAGGAGATCGCACCTCGAAAACGCCCGTCTAGGACGGCCCCGATCCCAGTTCCGAAGATCGGACCGACCGAAAGCCTGCACGTGATTAGCTTCGATGGATCGGCTCGCGTCAAACGCGAAGGAGGAGCATTCAGTGCCGTGATATGGAAACTACCGAACAATCCCAGTTCCGAAGATCGGACAGACCGAAAGCCTGCACGTGATTAGCTTCGATGGATCGGCTTGCGTCAAACGCGAAGAAGGAGCATTCAGTGCCGTGTGTGATGTAGCGCTTGGAACTTTAGCTCCCAGGCCGCGACGCAAGTGGGTATTTGCGTACGCACCAATGGA